TATTTGTGAACACAAACATATGCAGGAAAAGTATAACACATACATAAAAATGATTAACACCAAATTCAGCACAGTGAATCTGCCCACCTCAAAATAGATGGGGGAAGACCAGATAAGAATACACAGGGCTTTCGAATATATTTATCCACAGTGTTTTATTTCTTAAAAATAAGAAAGACCTTGAGCACACATGATAAATGTTAAAATCTCACAAAGGTACATGGCGGGTACACAGATATTTAATATGTTTATCTCTAGACTATGCTATATACTTCAAGTATTTCAGTACATTCTAAAATATAGAGAAAGCAATTCAAACTATTCAAAGTAGAGTAAACCTGACCTTGAAGCAACCATGGGAAGCTATTAGTTTAATAGCAAATTAAACTAACTTAATATTCCATGTATTACATTAGATACTTGAGAATACTTACAGATTCTAGGTCTTGAATATCTTTCTGTAACTGTTTATTTTGCTCATTCATATTCATAATTATATTAAATACAGACTGCCTAGGATGCAGTGTTCGATCAAATTGGTGGTACATATTTCTCCAAAACCTTTATGACAAAAAAAAAGTTTCAATAAATTGTGTTGAAGAAAAATCAAATATAAATACTTCGATGAGGCCAACTTACTTAAAATTGAAAGATACTGTATTTGGCTCCAAAACTGTAAATCTCTGAGATTTGAAACTGTAGAGAGGGTTTATGTACTTCTTCTGGTCTTCCAAAAGAAATGGCCACAGAGAGTAAGTCTTCTCCTTCAACCTTAATGCAATGAGAAAAACATAAAGATCTCTCCTATAGATGCAAAGAATTAATGCTAATATTTATTTTTATAAATCGGGCAATTGCTTCCAAAGTAGATTTAAGTTTTAGTTTTTTCTTCTATTGACAGTCTAACCTCTTGTCTCAGAATTCTGTATTTTCTTTTCTCCTTCATTCATAATTATATAATAAATAAAGCCACGAAAACAGATATATACCATTGTCTTTCACAAATATACATTTTAAGGGATTTCTCTCAACTTACACAATTTCAAAATCTTGGTCTCTGATCCACTTATTTCAAAACACACACACACACACACACACACACACAGAACAAAACACTAAGGTAGCTCTCTGGCCTTATTCTCTTAACCCCTATCTGGGCTGTAGTGGCAAGTATTATGGAGCAGGACCATGTAAATATGAGTGGGTACAAAAAGGGAAACAGGCAAAATCAGGACGTTATGCAAGAGTTTTAATGCCAATTATACTGCAAAGCTAAGAGTAGGTGGGTAAAGGGTAGAATGGTTATGGATAGTACATTTACCAATAACATGACACAGACAGGGATCCAGGAGGAAAGTGGAAAATCTTCTCATTTTTCCATGACCCCTAAGATGACCCATAGGTGTGTTCTTAAAGAATTACTAGGAAATACCCACTTTTATTTTCATCTTCCCAATTCTGAGAATGTTTGACCCTAATTAAGATAAATACTTTTTCCTAAAATAGCTCTTTACTCCCAGAAAAGAGTCACTTGCTCCAAATTATCAATATAATGAACTGTTGTGAATTACTGTAGCAAACAGCTAAAGTCTTAATGTTCTTGGATTTGTTCATCTCTGCCATATTTTATTTACTTGTTCTTCCTGTACATATCTTCAGAATTTTCCACGTGCTCTCAGTTCTGCTATCAACTCTGTTTGGAGTGTGAGCATGTGGCTGTCTTCAAACTACTACCAGATTTACCTTCTCTAATATGTCCCTAGAATCTTCAAGAATTTATAACAGCTCTTTACCACCTACTGTAAGAAATCTAAACCCAGAAGCCCAACCTAAAAATATACATATAGGACCTCTCAGCATTACCCCAGAAATCTCCCTTGCATCAAAATATAGGCCAAAAACCCCTATCCCCAAAGATTGGTCAGGAAATAACAGGTGAACTAGGGATGGACACACTGCAGCCAACATAGGTAGACTTATTTTCCCCAAAAAACTGTTTAGAAATGTGAGAAGAGCTATAAGGCTCCATCTTACCTTGAAACAAACCAACAGTTTTAAGTCTTTTACCACATTTTAAAACTAGTGACCAATACTTTCTAGGAAATGAAATAATGCAAAGATTTCTCTATCCTAAAATATATAAGCAGACTGAAAGGAGCATGAGGGGAGCTTCTATGGTGCTGGCAACATTTCTTGTTCTGGGTGCTGGTTACACAGGTGTGTGAGTTTACCAAGATTTACTGAGCTTCGCACTTGTGCTGTATGTACCTTTCTAAATGTATGCTATACTTCAAGACACATTTAAAAATGTAATTTTCACAGTAAAAATGGGGTATAAAAGAAAAAAATGTATTTTTGCTATTACCTTGAGGGGTGAGGAATATTAGGAGGATTCTTAGCTTCAGAAATGTAAATAATAAAATCTTTACAATAAAATTGAGTTCTATTTCATATTGTCAAGATATTTTATTATGTTTAGCCATGATTTATGTTTACCTCAGCTAACTAGGGGAAAAAAGAGCCTGTTTTAACCAAGTTATCTTACTTGAGTTCTTCTCTTTCTTTCTGGCAATTTCCAAGAAAGTTTCCAAATTGGCATGAATGAATATGTTCATGGATCTGAAGAAGAAATTCTTCATTGAATTCAAAGGCTTGTGGAAACTGTTCTGTCAAATGCCACACACATTCCAAGAACTGAGTAAACACTGGTGAGACTTCCTTTGGGTCACCGTCCAAATGGCCACACCTAACCCCCCCAGAAAGTACAAGCTTTTAAAAATGCCTCTGAAAGAAGTCCATTGTTCAGGTATTGTTAAACTTAAACACGCATACAAAAAATAATCCTAAAACACTGTTACATTAGCACAAAAAAAACTATAATTTTTTAAATTGAAACTACTTATATCTATGAGTTGTTTCACCTCAATTTTAAGGGAT